AAAGAGGCTTCCGCGAAAGAATCAATATATTATCTAGTGGGCTGTTTAGGTCACCAGCCCAGTTTGCCAAAAAAGGTCTGAGGAGTTTTCTGAGAAAGAACTCGCAGAGCTCTTCGCTGTGTTAGGGATCTCGGCAGTTAACACACCACATCAGCGGGCAGTCCATAAGGTGTGGAAGCACAGCGCTCGAGAGAACCTTGCAAATCCTTCCACAACGACGAATCTCTGCCGACTGTAGAGCCCTCTCGACAAAGGTGCAGACGAGCTTGCACAGCCAGACAGCTTCAGGTCGTGGATAGCTGAGTCCTCCTTGGTCAAGGCTAAACATGGACTGATATGCTCCGTCATGTGATGCATTTCCCTTGAAGGGGCGGTGCAACGATATTCAATTGGAATGTTTTTCACTTTACACGAGCTTACTGGCACTAGTGGGAATCAAGGATACTCGCACGCAACGCCATTCACTAAGAAACTTCTTTGTTGTGCTGTAATTTCGAGGACAAAACCGAGTGTTTTCATTCAATCTCTCCTTCGCCAAACCTGATGACGTAGCTGGGCGGTAGCAGTACCGCCCAGTGACGATATTTGAATGCGGCTCATAGATTGGACCCGAGCATGGCGTGGACACTCAATTTGGGGTCGTGATAATCAATAGCTCGAGAAGCATTCGGGTAGTGTCCTGTGTCCAATCGCTGCAATGCCGACAACAGCCGAACCATAACAATGTCTGGAACTCAGCGCGTGTCCTGTGCCTTGCCAACCCCAGCGCATGGCTATGATCAACATTGGCGGCATGTAATCGGTTCCAGATCACGTGGCCGCTTGTTCTGGCTGCGAGTTGAGGGGGTGAACTCTGCTCGTTTTTCTTAATTTTTTTCTGCTACTTCGATTGCGTTTGGTGAAAAACCAACGGGTATTTACCAGTTCATTAAAGTCAGGGTCCGTTCTGAGCGGTATTTGCGCAAAATACAAAAATCGTTGCATCGCCCCTTTAAGTTGCGCTTCCATTCAGGACACGTCACCTGCAAAGTTTAGCGGGTTGTACACATTAGCCTTCCTTCCTTTCACTGAGAAATTCTTATTGCTTTGCTAGGTTGAATGTTTCAACTAATTGCTTTGAAATTACGACAATTTCTACAAATAAAAATGGTGACCTTTTGCTCGCAAACGAAGGCCAAGTGGCCAGCCATGTAAGTCAGCGGTGCGAACTCAACTTCGGTAGAGACTTCATTGTACTTCATCAAGTGCAGGATTTCCTGTTTCACGAGTGGAGTTGGCACAATTCATCGCCGCCTGGCGATCAGAACTAGAACGCGCATTTACATTTCCGGAAGCTTCCAAAATGCCAACACAAACCACACACGCGAGCGTAGAGTGGCACTACGATATTTTCTCCGAGCACAGCGGTGCATAGGTGGGGGTAGAAAGCGAGTTTTGCTGCCTTCTGCAACCGCGGCAGCACCTCGGTATCGACGAAGCCAATGACAGGCAGATATTTTATCTGGGTAGCGGAGCAAGAGCGCGTTGGGCGCCTTCTCTATACTCCGTTTCACCTTATGTTGTACCGCAGCGAAGGCTGGAAGCGCGAGCTCGTAGCGTTGACAGCTGCCCTTGCTGCACGAGAGCTTGTGCCGCCAAGATCTGCCCCAGAGCAAGGAGCTCGCGCTTACAGCCTTTCCTGCGGTACAACATAAGGTGAAACAGAGTACTTTCAGCTCACAAGACCGCTCAGCGATGTGCAGCGCCCCCACGGAAAATGGGAGAAGTTCTCCTCTCACGCGCGCTCTTTTGTTTTCGGAAAGACATCGGCAGGCCGCACCAACAGGGGGGATCGAGTGGCCGTGTCTTTGCTTAAATTATAATCGCACCCAAGTCGTTAACGAGTCTAGACGTGAAGAAAACTTCCTTGATCTTGTTCGTCCCCCGATATGCTGACAGCGATGTTTCTGCGTAGCTATCCTTCTATCACCAGCTTTTGCTCTAGGACCGTGGAACAAACTTGGTTACATTTTAAAAACAAGTTGAATAACCTCGTGGACCTATTTGCACACACTCTCCATATGCAAGGCGACGGTTGCAACCCATGGTACGACGGAGCATTAAAGTCTCTCAACAACAAAAAAAGCTATTGTTTAAAAGGACAATGCCTCTAAACAGCAATGCCACATGTCTGACACTACCAAAGGTGGACCCAGGGGGGGGGGGGGGGGGGCCGACGGGCCTTCCCCCCCAAACCAAGTCGACCCCCCCCCCCCTCCCCCCTTCTCGGAGGGCATTTTGAAATGGGTGGACTCCCCGGTGCACACGAAAGAATCGGTGAATAGCATCCTTACAAATTCTCCGCCCCCCTCCCCCCCCCCCCCCCCCAAAAAAAAAAAGAAAAAAAATGGAGTTCTACATTCGCCCCTGGACGCAACTACTTTTCACGTCTTAAAACCTACACTCGGAACATGCGCCTGGCTAAGCAAGTTCTTTTTCGAGGACTTTCCAAATAACTCCTGCGTAATAAAAAAGAAAAAGAAAATTCTGGAAGATATATATATATATATTTTTTTTTATATAACACTCCTCCTCTATCCAGCCAATGATGAAGATGGAACCCTATATCTTAAACAGGCTGTACAACAGTATTTTAATGACTATTTTTCGTCTGTGTCTACCGTAGAAGACGCCGACGTCCCTCTATTACCAGCATTGTTGTGGGAAAGGGGGGGGGGGGAGGAAGAGTCTCACGTATGAGAGATCTTACAGTCGAATGTGATGTCGCGGACGGAACGTTGCCCACAGTTCACCAAAAACTAAACATTTCTTCGTAAGAAAAGTGGCGTATTGTCGTTTTTCTTTTTCATACAAAGAAATTGCTTTGGGGCTTGAAAGGGGGAGGGGGACCCCCGCTCCCCCCCCCCCCCCCGCCTTTTTTTCGAGCCTCTTCCTTCCCTCTTCCCCTCAGCTTCCCTTGGCGGGGGGATGCCACCTCCTTCAAAAAAGTTGAAAAAGTTCTCGACGGGAAAAAAAAAGAAAAAGCGAGACAGAGGTTAACTTAAGCGTATTTTTCTTCCGTGAAATTGACTATCACAAACATTTGACCCGCACGTATCAAATAACGCGAAAAAAAAAATCGCTGGGTGTGACATTCTACCCAGACTTGTGAGGGAACGCGTGCAGCATTTTTGATTGCTCGGGCAGGCATGCGGAAGGCGCTGAAACGATGAGACCTCTGTATAATACCTCACACTTTTCTCCTCGCACCGAACGTGCCGGCAAGCAGGGGCTTCAGTGCTACTTTGGAAGTTCTCTTTTGGCTAGCTGGAGCATCAATCTGAAATATAATTTTTACATTCGTGATCCTGGAAACCAAATAAAAACAATTAAGTTTTTTTTTTTTTTTTTTAGTACAGAATTTTTTTTTGTTTCTTCCTTTGAACTTTATCGTTCCTCTATAGTGGCGAGGGGGAGGGGTGTAAAAGTAGACATTTGTCGCTTGACATGATCCTCCTCCCTTTGCGTCGACAGGAAACAAAGGGGTTCTTGGAATTCGTCCTCCCCGGAAGGTTTTGCAGACGTCACAGTGAGATCCCTGGGCTCCTGAAAGGGAATGACTAGTGCCACTAAATAAGCTAGGCTTCAGAGTAACGACACTTGCCCATATTGTGGCTTAAAATCATGGTTGCCAGTTACCTGAAGCTTTATCTGAAATCACAGAAAACGCTTTTCCGTCCTCCACAAACGTTTCAACATTTCGCGATAAAGCAAAGCAATATTACATGAGCTTCCTAACATAGAATCTAATGCCGAGGAAGCCGCACTTTTGAATCATGACGATCGGCAATTGTGTCTGCTCTGTACCAGCACCAGAATGGCGGCGCCCAGAATAATGTCGGGGAACAAAGTGCCGATACACTAAGCGCAGCTCCTTTAATGGCTCTAGGAACGACAATAGAAGGGAGGTTTTTTGTTGTTGTTTATTTGGTTTTTCGGACAAAGACCGAGCGTTACGACTCGTACAAGCCACACTTTCCAAAGCTTTCCGATGAGTTCAAAAGGAAATCTGGGGCTGATTTGGTGCCCTTGAACTAAAGAGAAGGCACGAAAACCTTCGTGGCGGACTATCGGAACCAGAGACGACGTTGTCATTCCCAATATGCCACCCAAAGTGAGTTCGGTACCTCCCGCGTCCTCCAGCGTCCGTCTACAAACAGGTGCCTACACCCCTTAGCGGCGCAAGCCATGTTAGCGCCCTTCTCCGCAATCCGTAAACAACAACAGCAACACACATTACACACAACTCTTCGAATCCACAGAAACAAAATAAAAAATAAAAAACACACACACAAAAAAAAACCACAACATTGTTTAAGAGAATCGCTCGCCGCACACGCGCGTATGCCCCGTTGCGCGATCGCACGACGACCGCCACCCACCGCCGACGCCGCTTCGTAAAAACGCGCGGCGCGGAATACACGCGAGAGACGCGGCGACGGCGACGCGTTCCGTCTCCATAACGACGTCTCCCCGGTTGGTCGACCGCCTTGGAAACTCCGCCCCCGGACGCCCTCCCCTCGCTCCGTCGGGTCCCTCCCCCTAAAATGTGGCGCTCGCGCGGCAGTCGCGATCAAGCGCGCTATCCGTTCGGTGTGCCGTTCACACCCGCCGTTCTCCTCGTCGTCGCAGCAAGCCGTCGAGCGCGAACTCACCGCGCGCTCTTCGAAAAAGCTCTCCGGGGACCCGACAACCTCCGCGAACCCGCCGCGCGCTCTTCGAAATCCCCTCTCCGGGGCCGGACCAGCTCCCGCGTGGACGGCGGCGTCTCCTCCGCGCACTCAACGGCCGGTGTTCTGGACCGCGGAGCTGTCGTCTCGAGTCGGCGTGCCGGACCGCGCGATGGAGCGGCGGCGCGGAGTCCTCGCTGTCGCCGCGGCGGCGAACGTCAGCGGTCGTCGTCGCTCGCCGGTCCGGCTGCAGTGAGGTGCGGCGGGGCGCCCCGCGGGCCGCCGTCCAACATGAAGATGGTGCAGTGCGCGGGCTGCGACCGTCCCATCCTGGACAGGTTCCTGCTGAACGTGCTGGACCGCTCGTGGCACGCCAAGTGCGTGCAGTGCTGCGACTGCCGCTGCAACCTCACCGAGAAGTGCTTCTCCAGGGACGGCAAGCTCTTCTGTCGGAATGACTTCTTCAAGTGAGTCTCCACGCTTACAAACACGCAGCGCAGACGCGCACGTTGGTCGTCTCGGCGAAAGAGCACGCGGCGGACGCGCAAATTCTGAGAGGAATGGTCAATAAATACCGCGACGCGAGGAGCGTTCCAAACGCCTGAGCGACGTCCCCGACGCTTGTTCCGCGGCGTTCGTTCGAGCAGACGCTGTATAAACCCCCGCACTTGAACAACGAGAGACGGATATGGCACAGCGATTTCACGAGTGTTTGCGACGTTCAGATATGCGGTGGATAGTGCGTCTCCGTTGATATCCAACGCATGTGCCTCGGAACGCGAAGTTATATTTGCTGGCAGCTCGCGTGATTCCTTCAGACACATACCCATACACCTTTTCTGTACACGTCGGTGAAGAGGTGGATGAAGCTCGTCACATGTGTCTGACACGCCGTAAGCTATAATATAGGTGGCGGGACCTCAGCCACGGACGTTTGTCATTTCGGATATATACTCTATCTGTGTACCGGCTCACCTTGCAGCCCTCAATTGAGCTGAGGTCGAAGCCAAGTGTAAACATAAGAAGAACATTTTCCGAATTATAGACCGACATAGTTTATTTAATCGAGTGGTCGTTGCCTAGAGTGAGAAAGCAAAACCTGGGAAATATTTCAAATCGGAGAGCTCGTAATAAAAGTTTAGGAAGGCGAAAATGGTGGAGAATATAAACCAAAATGTAAGACAGAAAAGGAACGATAACAGAGAGCTAAAACTATAACCTATAGTGCATTCCATCGCGCTCAGGGCGCACGATATTGTTTTCTCAAGTCGTGGTGAGATGGGCCGTTTACGAGGCACATCTTGGATCTAGTGACGGTTCGTGCTGGGGAAGCTACGATAGTGCATTTCGGGAGGAGGTGTCTCTCTTTGGGGAAAAGGGGTTGAAGAAGGAAGACGATAAATTGCACCCAAGGAACGACTCCTATTTGGTGAGGCGGTATCCTCTCTCTAAAACCGAGACTCCAGATATAGGGTCTTTTAATCAAAAGAAGGCTACATGATTTGCATCGCACTTTATTTTCGGAACTAGTGGGGCTCGAGGAATAACTCAGTCATATGCAGGTGCGATTTTATCGAAACACAAAAAGATCTACACACAATCGCTCGAACGCCGTCCGCGTTCGAGCACGTTCAACCTTTACCCAAAATGACAGGCGAGGACTTTCCGTTGGTGGTCGCGTCAGTGGAGACTATTGCTGTTGTTTGCGAAGCTTCTCAGAGTCACACGCGGTTTAACGTCAGGCGGTTGTCATCGGAGGAGATAAACAGCCGTGCTTCCCGCGTGCATTTCCATCGCACATATACAGCCAGGCAACAGCTTCTCGTACACACACGGAAGGGAGCATTACGCGAGAGGTGTTTATGTTGGTACGCTGACGCTTCTAAGGCGATCCCCCTTTAACGCGGATCATTTATTGCGGCGACGAGCATCATCGCCTGGAAATCCGCGCAGCGGTGAGCCTCGCCTCCTGAGTTGAGTGAAGCTCCGACAGCTGCTGCTGCGCCGATTGCCGTAGAGCTTTGCGCCAGACGCGCGCGCGAGCGCCTGCATGCGTGCGTTGTCTTTTGACGGCTGCCGAAAGTTGGAACTCGGTGAGCGGGATGGCTTAGCTCACGCGCTAAACCGGGGCGACATGGTTCTAGTCGAGGTATATGGGCTACGCGAGTTGGCGGGGAATGGGGTAAAATTATATAGAAGAGAAAGACAAGGTCTCGCGCCGTGAGAAACTTGTAGCTGTGGCTGCCGCCTACGACTCGCTATTTCGGTGGGGTGACAGTGTCAGCGGGTGTGCCCCCTATGGATACGATGACGATGTGTTTCGGAGCGACGCGATGGGGCGCGCTGCGCGAACTGCTTTGCTTTTGCCGAGATAGACGGCGAACTGGGTGTGTGTGCGAGAGCCGTGGACCTTGGCCTCTGTATTTATACCACTCGGCGATAACGTCATGCTATTCCACCATCGCTTTGTTTTTATTCTTTATGGGTCTTTACGTATGTATTTCTGACAGCGCGCTGCTCGACAAGAGTGACACCACGGTTGTTGGTTGGTTCGGTACGTTGTGCGCCGAATGAAATGTGTTGTTATAATCGTAACCAAAAATTTTTCCAGACTCGCACGTGAACAATAAAAGCGCGTCAAGACCTCACTGTCCACTTTTCCATCCAATTATTTTAGGGGCGAAGCTCCTTAGGGTCTAGCCTTGTCCGTCCGGCCTGCCGGCGTCCGTGCTCACATAAAAAGAAAAATATGTTTGCGCAGTCGACAGGATTCGAACCTGTGCGCGGAGACCCCGACGGATTTCTAGCCTTAACCACTCGGCCACGACTGCGGGACGAGTAGGGGGCTCTGAGATGTGGTAGTAACTCAAGAGCTGGGGATGTCATGGATGAAACGTTGCATGTAGCCGCTCAACCTTTATACAGGAGAGGGCGCTCCGGTCAAATGCGTATATAATCGGGTTAAACTTTGCATGCATTGGCTCAACGTTTATAGACGAGAGGGCGCTGCGGTCGAATGCTTAACTGCGTATATAACCACGTTCCATACCACACATTCTCTTTCTGACATGGACCGTTGACTTAAGCGGTGGAGATGCTCTCCCACGGCTTCTAGCGGATCCAAGCTGATCGGCTAGAAGAACCACTGGCTCTGCATTTCACCGACCATAAGGCAGTAATAATGAAGTCGAAACGCAACCCGGAACTCAGCACTATCATGAGCAATAACAAAAAAATCAGCACCATCAGCACTACCTATGAAAAATAAAATCAGTATCATGAGCACCACCAGAGCTTCACCCCAATCAACATCATTCACCACGTGGAGATGCGGTCATTTTTTCCTTTCTTTTTCTTCTTTCGATGTCAAAGTTTTACATTGTTTAGTAAAGGCTTCTTCCTTGACGCCTGGGGAAGAACATTCGATACGCCTCCGCTCGCTTCGCCATTGTGAATGGGTGTACGGAGAAGAGAAGCGTTTTAAAAAGACAATCCGGAACGAAAGAAGCTCAACCAGAAAATAGACGACGTCAGCTGAAGTAACCGTAGAAAAACAATTCATAAACTCGGCTTTTCGTGTTGGTTGGGGGAACGGAAGAAAACGCAAGAAGCTGAATTTCTATGTCAATTCCCGTATCTACTTTTTTTTTTTTACTCGAATTTTAATCGATTAACTCCAGCGTGTTGCGGCGTTGCGGTATATAAAGAACAACAACTGGGGAGGAGTTATCAACACCTCGGTTTTATTTTGATTCCCCCCGGTACGCAGTATACGACACATTTCCTCTCCAAAAGTCTTCGTCAACACCTGTCCGCCATTGCTTGCTCACGTATTCTCAGCACGCATTGAACACGAGGGTTAGGTCAGCGCTCGGCGGGGACCCAATCGCGAGCTTCATGTCCAAGCAATGGCGACCGCCAATGTTGCTCGACGGACTTTTAAAAAAGGGCCCCAAATAGCAGTCAAGCTCGCGACATCCGCAAATTCTCGTCGTCGTTGTCCCCTCGGAAGAACAATTACTGCTCGTATCGGGAAACGTAGCTTTCCATTTTAACAGATCCGCATAGCCGATAAGCTTTTTGTACTCGTGCTTTTTTTCTTCTTTTTTGTATTGCCGACAGTAATTCTTTGCTTGCGTTAGTAGGGGCTAGAACCTACAACCTCTGAAGAGTAACTATACACTTCAGAAATAGTGGTGCTTAGAATCATGGTTGGCAGTTGTCGTAAGCTTTACCTAAAACTGCGGGAAACGTTCGCCTTTCTGTTTTGGGGAAATGTTACGACAGCCAGTGAGAGATAAAAAACGATACAGACTGAGATTTTGTAATGATGACTGCGGTCCATGGCGCCCTCACTGCACTAAGCATAAAACATGAGGGCTTGGCGTCGATTAAAATTTTGAATCCGATTATTCGCCACCCTTTCTTTGAATAATTAATCGATTAATTAATCGATTAACCGGTTTCGTTCATTTCTATGTATAATAGTTTTAAAAAGTCGAAATTACATATATTCTCCTCGCTTTTCCTGAGTATGTGATAAACGGTGCAATGTACAATTTTGGACTTTAAGTGAACCTCGAAGTGTAGTTGAAAAGAGGCAAAAGACACCCACACTTGCAAAAGATTATTTGAGCCGCAGAAGCAAAGAGGTTCGTTGATATTCTCCAGCAATAGCGAACGGCCTTCATCGTTCGGAACAGCCTCTGCTGTGCTAAACGGGCACTCACACGACGTTGAACTGGCTTAGAAGATATGTACAACCTCCTCAGCTTGTTTGGAGTTTCAAATCGCGCCCCTACAGTTTACTGTAGGTCAAAATTTCAACTAAAGTTTACCTTTATGTAGGTGTACTCGTCCACATGTGCGTAATGAAACCGTCGAATTTTTACTTGTTTTTATTTGCCAAAATTTATCCGATTAATTAGTTAAAAAAATTAATCGCGATTAAAACATTAATCGATTAATCGGTAGGTTAATCGATGAAGTGCCCAGTTCTTATCAAAATGTGGGCGGCCACAAGATAATTGCCGAGCAGACTGTCCATACTTTGAGCGTTGCTTATGAATACCCTATAGTTTGACCCTAATTACACGAATACCCTTAACAGCAGTTAAGTGTGACTGAAGTCAAAGTTAACTGCAGTTAAAAGGGCAAGTGTAACGAGGGTATCAGTGGATCTAGTAGGGACTTTTTGAAGGTCGTATAGGCTGAGGACTGAGGGTTTCGCGGGCGCGTGCTCGGTCCGCGCACAAACCGACGGCGCGAATTCCCGATAGCGATGCCAAGCTCTTGCGTATATACGATCTACGAAAATCCTCTAACGTAACGCGTAGAACTGTAACTGCGAGCTTCGGGGTATCCAGACAATGGGGCTTTGAAAATTCGCCGAATGGATTCTCCGATGACGTCGCCCGCTTTAGCCATGCGAAGAAGCTGTTACAGAATCCTCAAGGACGCATCTCAG